AGATGGAAGGAAACCCACCCAGCAAGCCTTTTAACACCCAGGCTAAACACTGTGAGATGAGAGACCCCACAGGAGGAAGGAGGGACAGACAGAAGGAGTCCCTGCTGTGAATTCAGAAGGGATCCTGACTCACAGCCTCTCCACCCTTAATCCCTGTCCCAAAGCAGTGCTACATCTGATAGCACTCCTGCTCCTCTGCCATCTTATCCAGGCAGCTGCTCTTGGCCCTGTGTGCCAGCCAAGCTCCAGACAGGGCCAAATTCCCACTCTGGCCAGGAACGGGGTAAGAGAAAAGGGACAGATAAACCTACAACATCTGCCAGAGACCCCTGTTTGGGCATCCCCAAATCATACTTTTTGTTTTGCTCAGTAATAGGCTGCCTGGGAGGCTGCCAGCTGGGGAAAGACACCCAAGTGCAAATACACAAATGCACAAATTGCTCCTGGGCACTGAGTGTGACCCTGCCAGCAGCCCTGACACAGAGACACTGGCAGAGGTACCTGCAGGGAAAGCATCCTGCTGCTCTGCTGGACACCAATTATGCCACCAACATTAAATAGCCCCACCAGCAGCCCTGCTGTCCCATGGTGGGTCTGATCAACTCTCCCTATCCAACAATGCTCACAGAAGGCACCTGGGACAAACCTGACATGGTTTTCCAGGCACCAACCCAGTCCTGAGCTCAGGCTACCTGGACCAAGCCCAGGGGACCCTGCAGGTGCTCCTGGCTCCAACAGGCTCTCAGGAAATGGTTCAGACTCTCCTGGCAAGCACAGGGCTGCCCCAGCAGCAACCTGTGAGCCAGTATCGACATGTGCTTGCTGCCAGAAGTTTTACAAAACTGAGCCCTGGGAGGGAGCTGAGCTGTGCAGAGGGAACCCAGCACTGAGGAAGCTGCCAGCTGAAAGCTGCAAGGAGTTGAGAAGCTGAAGGCAAAGCCGGCAAATTAATTGAGTTCTTTTATGCAAAGTGCAAGAGATTATTTTCATTGCATTTCTCCTGACTTCATTAAAAAGAACAAAAGCCCATGGGCTTTTTTTTTAAGGTGCTGTTGAACATTTCCGAGGTAATGTTTTAAATGAAGACTAATATATTACCAACCCCAGCACTTAACAACAATGGAAGCAGACAGGATCCCCAGGCAAGCATTAATCTGGACACCAAAAGGGAAGAAAAATGTAACAACTGAAGACATCCTGACAACAAGCAGTTTAGACACACAATCCACAGGTCAAGTGGGAACAAGCACAAGGAAACTAAACTTCTAGAGAAGCTCCTGCACAACCACCATCAGACCCTGAGAAGAACTGAAACAAAATTGTTCAATTAATCATCCTAAATGCTGAGCACCTCAGATGTGGGAGCCTCATTTCAAACACTGAAATGAAGCTTAAGGGCTACTGAGAACCTATTGTCTGCAACTGAAATTACTCCAGCTGGTGTCCAGCTCTTGAACATCAGCTCTGAGCTGACAGTGTGATGTGCATGACAGAAATCCACCTGCAGCAAAAGCTTATAACTTCCAATAAAAACAAAGACAGCAAAGAAACTGATGTGTTTTGCTAAAAGAGATATATGCAAAAGTTTTGACTCAAGTTGTTGGATTTTTTTTTTTTTAAACAGAAAAATACAAGCTTTTGCAAATTGCTTCTCTTGTTCAGATTTCAGGGTCTGTTTTGCAGTCCCTTCCACATTTTCAGTGAACTTCCTTGAGGCTAAAAGCATCACAGGGAACCAGGGACAGTGACACCTCCTTTCTTCCCTGCAGATTTCAAATTGTCACACTAAAACAACAGCATCTCACCACTCCTTGGGAATTACACATCCCTTTTCCTATGGCACCTGCCACCACCTGGGAAGCAAATGCCAAAAGCCTTGGCACCAAGGAAAACTTGGGATTTTCTGCATGATCAGGCAGGTGACCGAATTCACCAGCAATTCCCTAAGCACAGTCTGCAGAAGAGCAGACAGAAAAGGTGCATTTTATGGACCAGCAGGAGACTGAAACAACCCAGGCTGTGCTCTGAGAAAAAAGTGAGCACTCAGGTACATCAGGGAGAGAGGATAATCAAGAGGAAGAAATGTCCAGGAGAAGAAAAACAAGGTTAAGGGCAAGTGTGAAAGCTTGAAAGGAATAGAAAGTCACATATTGGGAGCTTTGGGGCAGCAGGAGAGAGAAGACCTTCCATGCTGGAAGCATGTTCTCCCACAGCACAGCTCCTGTCCCAGGAGGTGACCATCCCCACCCTGGGCAGGAGGCCAGAAACATCTGAACCCCCTTGAGCGGTGGCTGGAAGGAATCTGAAAATGCAGAGCAGTATTTTGTGCCCCTGAAAAAGCAGAGCAGTATTTCGTGCCTGTGCGCTGACGCAAGTGCCTCCACCCCTTCATTTGGAAGGACACTTCCAATTAACTGAAACTTGGGATCACAAAAGCCAGCGGCCCAAACAGGTCAAGCCTTTGGATCAAAGCTTTCTGCTGGGTGGGAGATTCGGCCACGTCTGACTCTGTGTGGTCACACATCACCAGCAAGGGCCAGGCAGAGGACAGACACTAACTACAGCACGGAGCAGGAGATGCCTTCTCGACCCTAAACCCAACAAATCTTCCCTAGGTACAGACCCATGGCCATGTTAATCATTCCCCAGCACACCTCCCAGTCCTACTTTGGCTGAACTCAAAGTCATGCCAGATAATCCAGGGAGAGCCATGCACGGTCCTGTCATACCCTGGTTCAGGCCTCCTCATGAGGCCATGTCACCTCAGGAAATCACAGGCCACCTTTAAAACACAAATGTCCTCAGCCCCACTGCACTGACGCCAGCCTTGCTCCATTCCTGTGGGAATACACATGAGCTCCTCTCCAAGAGGTCCTGTCACAGCAGGAGGAACTCTAAAGGTTGTGCACCCAGATCCCCAGGCAGCAGGACAGAAGGCTCTGCAGGCCCCTGAGCGTGGCAAAGCATGGGAGAATCCCCCAAAGGGCCTCTCCATTATTCCTGGGCAGCTTCTGGAAATCTGGATGCTCTATGTTGGAAACACAGCCTCTGGCCCCAGCACGTGGAATCACAGAACCACAGAATGGTTTGGGTTGGAAGGGGACTTTGATGACTATCCAGCTCCAACCCCCCCATGGGCAGGGACACCTTCCACTAGAGCAGGATGCTCAGAGCCCCATCCAGCCCGGGATGCAAGGCTCCTGACCAGTGCAACAGCTGGTCTGTGCCACCCCAAGTCCCCACTCAGCCCTGGAGCAGGTAAGCGTGACCCACCAGTGCTTGGTGACGTGCTAGCCCATGACCCTGCCAGCTTCACCCTGTGAGGCCGTCTGGAAAAACCCAACCACATCTCACTGCCAGAGATTTGGGAGTAACTCTGCCTTCGAGAGCCCTCCACATCTGGGGTTTGGAAAACAAGCAACCCTCCCTCCAGCAGCACCCCGATAAGGCTCAGCACGGCGGCACGGGGCTGTCCCGGTGACACAGCACCCACAGAGGCTGTGTCGTGTCCCCCGCAGCCCTCTGCCCGCCAGACAAGCCCCGGCACAGCCAGGGGCCACCAGGCACGGAGCGGGAGAACGATGCGCTGCCCCGGGAGCAGCCAGCCCCGGGAGCCGGGACTGGCCGGGCTGGGCTCCCCGCGCCCGGGCAGCTCCCGCACGGGTTTCCCGGGAAGCAGGCGTGGGCCGGGCACGGCTCACCGTAGATCATGGCCAGCCCGGTCTCGTGGAGGAAGCGAGCGCGGCGGTGCTTGAAGAGCCAGATGGTGAGGATGGTGAGGGTGAGCAGCAGGATGAAAACCAGCAGGTTGGCGCTGTCCTGGCGGTGACTCTCCTCCGCCGCCTTCTCGGACACGATCTCCTCCTCCAGCGCCCCGGGACGCGCCGCCGCCACCTCGGCGCCCGCCGCCCCCCGCGCCCACAGCCCCGCGGCCGCCGCCAGCACCGGCCCCGGCCCCGCCATCGCCCCGGCACCGGCCCGGCCCCGCCGACACCAGGAAGCGGCTCTGGGCGCAGGCGCCGGGGGCGGGAACAGCGCCGGGAGCCCGGATAGGGACGGGCCGGCAGCGACGGAGCGGGAGAGGGGCGGCGGGAGCGGGGCCGGGGAGCTCCTGGGGCGGGGTTTGGGAGGGAGAGCGGTGCCGTGAACCCTGGGACGAGTCCTAGGGAACGGGATGCGAGGGACGGAGAAGGGGGAAGGTGATCGGAGTTCAAAGGGGTTGGCAAGAGGGAAGAGAAATCCCCAAATACATTTGTTGCAAGGTGTTGTTTGTGCGCGGGGTGCTTGGGAGGGATGTTCTGCAGGACACACCTCGGCTCACGGGGAGACGGGTCCGGGAGGATCCTGCTCGTGCCTTCGCACCGTGCCAAGAGCCCCCCAATGGGGTCAGGGTAAACTTCCCACCTTTTTTACCAAGAAATAGAGAGGGGATGCGTGGAGCCGGTGGGTCAAGGGTTGCAATAAATGCCAATGATCAACTTAAAGGTGACTTGTAGAAAAACGTCCTCCAAGAATTGCCTTTGTGCCTTGGGGGCATGGAAGACCCAGGATGTTTAGCTGTGTGGGACCCCGGTGTTTTCTTGCTTTGCCCCAGGCCTGGCTCGGCCAGGGCCGTCCCTCCTGCACGTGTTGTGTGCACCCCTTCGTCCCGTTTTTGCTTGCACCGGTTTCTCAAGCTTTGAGGTTAAACACGTGCAAAGTGGGAATTAACTCGGGCACCACTGGCCCTAGGCTCTGTTTTGGGTTGGAAGGGATCCGGCCTGGCCCGGTGGAGGGAAGAGGACTATTCGGGGGGTCGATGGACCCCTTCTCCCCCAGCCGATCCCCAGAACCATCCCTGGCTCCCGGGGTCCGCGCATCCCCTGGCATTTTATCAATGGCCCCGCGTGGGAAAGCGGCGGAGTGGCTCCGCCCCCTGCCACTCAAGCCACGCCCCTCCTGCCCCGCCGCACTCCTCGGGCGCGGCCTGGCCCCGCCCCCTCGGTGACGCCATCCTCGCGCGCCGGGGCGCCCTGGCGGCGGCGGGCGGCTATGGCGGCGGGGTCGGTGTGGAAGGGGCTGGTGGGGCTCGGCCTGTTCGCCCTGGCACACGCGGCCTTCTCGGCGGCGCAGCGTGAGTCACCGCCGGGGGACGGGCCGGGGCGCCCCGGGGCACCGCCACTCCCGCACGGCCGGCGGGGAACTCCCGGGGCGGGGGCCGGGCCGGGCCGGCATCATCATCGTCCTCAGCCGCGAGCCCGCCGGCGGGGGCGGCCCTGCCCTTGGGGCCGGGCTGAGGGAGAGCGGAGCTTCCGCGGGGAGCGCGGGGCTCGCCCCGTGCGGGCGCCGCAGCCGCCGGGAAGGGAGGGAAAAACGAAGGGTGGGAAGGGGGAGCTGCCGACCGCCGGGTCGCGGTTCCTGCCCGGCCTGTGCCGTGCCGCTGCTTCCCGGTTCCGGCCCGGCCTGTGCCGTGCCGCTGCCTCCCGGCTGCCCGGGGAGGGTCGGGCTGCCGCGGGTCTCTGCAGCCGTTCCTCTGGGGGTTGGTGTTGCCGCGCTGTTTATTTGCAGGCAGAGTGTTTGATGCGTGCTTGTGTGTTTCTGTTTTGTAGATCGTTCGTATATGAGGTTGACAGAAAAGGAAGATGAAACGTTGCCCATAGATGTAAGTTTTTGCAGTGTGTGAAAGGTGTAATTGTGGGGTGGTTTAGTCTCTCGGTTGCTTCGTTTTGGTGTGCTAGGCAAGCATAAAGGATAAAGTAGTTTTTAAGCTGTACTCTCACTGTCAAAAAGAACCCACGCTTTTCATCCCAACTTCCTGATTGTGTTGTAGTTGTCAGTAAAACCAAACCCCAGATCCAGACCTCCCTCTCTTTTAGAACTACCCTGGAGCATCTTGTCCAGGATTCCCTGGATGTAGCTCAGAGAGCTTTTGCATCCATCCCCTCCTTTGCAGCATAAACATCCTGCACCCTGTGTTTATCCAGTGTGGCTGTTTGACCCTGCACAGCCTGCTTCAGGGAGGGGGCTTTCATTTACTTTATTTGCTTGCTTTTCAAATTTCCACTTCAGTTATCTGTTCCCTCTCTTCTTAATCAGAAGAGCAGGGAGACCAGGTGCCCAGGAGAGCCAGGCACAGTGCCTGGCCCAGGCTGCACAGTGTTCCTGGCAGGAATTTGGGTCCTGGAGAGCACAGAACACAGGGCTTGGTCTCAGGCTCTTGCTGAGGAGCTGTGTGAGTTGATGCAGTCGGTGCAGCCCAGACCTGTGCTGGGGCAGCTGGAGCTCTGCTGTGCACATGGGAGGGAATTTTAATTCTCCTGTGCCTCAGTTTCCCCACTGCTGGATTGCTCACCTCTGTTTGCTGTCACTGGATGAAAAGCAGCAGAGATCCTGTGTGAAAGCTGAGATGTTTTGGTAAATGTGCAGAACACCTGGTGATGTGTGTGTTGCACTGTGCTCCCTCTGTTGCAGATAGTCCTGCAGACTCTGCTGGCCTTTGCAGTCACCTGCTATGGGATAGCACACATTGCAGGAGAGTTTAAAGACATGGATGCCACTTCAGAACTCAAAAATAAGTATGTTTTATTTCTTCTTTTTGTACATGCTGGTATCTGCTTCTCTGTACAAGCTGAAAGCACTCATCTTTAGCTCAGTCCTCCAGTGCATGCTGTGGGCAGTGACCCCAGGGGGGCAGCCACACTTGCAAAAACCAACAATGCCTTGAGTTTTAGGGAGGGTTAGATAACAGGCAGAAATCAAATTCCGGCCCGGCCTGTGCCGTGCCGCTGCCTCCGGCTCCTGCCCGGCCTGTGCCGTGCCGCTGCTTCCCGGTTCCGGCCCGGCCTGTGCCGTGCCGCTGCCTCCCGGCTGCCCGGGGAGGGTCGGGCTGCCGCGGGTCTCTGCAGCCGTTCCTCTGGGGGTTGGTGTTGCCGCGCTGTTTATTTGCAGGCAGAGTGTTTGATGCGTGCTTGTGTGTTTCTGTTTTGTAGATCGTTCGTATATGAGGTTGACAGAAAAGGAAGATGAAACGTTGCCCATAGATGTAAGTTTTTGCAGTGTGTGAAAGGTGTAATTGTGGGGTGGTTTAGTCTCTCGGTTGCTTCGTTTTGGTGTGCTAGGCAAGCATAAAGGATAAAGTAGTTTTTAAGCTGTACTCTCACTGTCAAAAAGAACCCACGCTTTTCATCCCAACTTCCTGATTGTGTTGTAGTTGTCAGTAAAACCAAACCCCAGATCCAGACCTCCCTCTCTTTTAGAACTACCCTGGAGCATCTTGTCCAGGATTCCCTGGATGTAGCTCAGAGAGCTTTTGCATCCATCCCCTCCTTTGCAGCATAAACATCCTGCACCCTGTGTTTATCCAGTGTGGCTGTTTGACCCTGCACAGCCTGCTTCAGGGAGGGGGCTTTCATTTACTTTATTTGCTTGCTTTTCAAATTTCCACTTCAGTTATCTGTTCCCTCTCTTCTTAATCAGAAGAGCAGGGAGACCAGGTGCCCAGGAGAGCCAGGCACAGTGCCTGGCCCAGGCTGCACAGTGTTCCTGGCAGGAATTTGGGTCCTGGAGAGCACAGAACACAGGGCTTGGTCTCAGGCTCTTGCTGAGGAGCTGTGTGAGTTGATGCAGTCGGTGCAGCCCAGACCTGTGCTGGGGCAGCTGGAGCTCTGCTGTGCACATGGGAGGGAATTTTAATTCTCCTGTGCCTCAGTTTCCCCACTGCTGGATTGCTCACCTCTGTTTGCTGTCACTGGATGAAAAGCAGCAGAGATCCTGTGTGAAAGCTGAGATGTTTTGGTAAATGTGCAGAACACCTGGTGATGTGTGTGTTGCACTGTGCTCCCTCTGTTGCAGATAGTCCTGCAGACTCTGCTGGCCTTTGCAGTCACCTGCTATGGGATAGCACACATTGCAGGAGAGTTTAAAGACATGGATGCCACTTCAGAACTCAAAAATAAGTATGTTTTATTTCTTCTTTTTGGTATCTGCTTCTCTGTACAAACTGAAAGCACTCATCTTTAGCTCAGTCCTCCAGTGCATGCTGTGGGCAGTGACCCCAGGGGGGCAGCCACACTTGCAAAAACCAACAATGCCTTGAGTTTTAGGGAGGGTTAGATAACAGGCAGAAATCAAATAAACTTCTTGCTTTTCCTCATCTGAAATCCTGCTGTGCAGGCTTGGTAGAGGAATGAAATGTGGAGGTGGGAAGTAGAGCTCAGGAATCACCACCTGCTGTCATGATATGGTCTCAGACTGCAAGTCTGAGTCACTGGAGTCTCACACAGTATATTCAAGGCAGGACATCTGTAAGACTTTAAGAAAATAAGGGCTTTTGGACCAAGATTTTGAAGAGGATAGTTGGTTAGAGCATGCCAAGGTCGTGGGTTCAACTGCTTTATGAGCCATTCACTTCAGAGTTGGACTCAGTGATCCTTGTGGGTCCCTTCCAACTCAGAATATTCTGCGGTTCTGACAGGAAATTGGATGGGCAGACGTTGCCTCTCAGGCCATTTCCAAAACCACAGGGGAGTATGAAAAGTGAAAAAGCTGACAAAATTGTATTTCAGAGCGCTCACCTAAAGCCTTTAGCGTGAGGCACCAGGGGGATGGAAAGCTGGGCATCATCAGGGTGTTAACACAAGTGAGAGCTGAACAAAGGCTGGCACGTGGTGTGTCTGCAGCAGCACCCACAGGCTGCCCTGAGCTCCAGAGAGGAAGGGGAAGTTGGTGACGTGGACATCTTGTGGTCTTTTTCACAACTATTTCCTCATTGATTCAGTTTAGGAAACTTAAAAGCAAGCAAGAGTTTGGATTGAAAACTTGTGTTTTTGTGTCTAAAGTCAATACGCCCCAGACTGACTGTTCTAAACTCCCTGCTCTGAGAGAGTATTAACCTTGGCTCTTTGCATTTATTTTGAAGGACATTTGACACATTAAGGAACCATCCATCTTTTTATGTATTTAATCATCGTGGTAGAGTGTTGTTCCAGTCCCCAGACACAGTGAATTCTTCTTCAAACCAAGATGCTTTGTCATCCAGCTCGGCACTGAAATTTCGAAAACTTGAACCTCTGCGCCGCTAAGACTTTTACAGATGATACCAATAACCCAGGACACTGAGATGTAATATTCAAGTCGGGGATGTAAACACTTTTTTAATTTCTGGAGCAGTATTTATATTGATCTTCCAGACTTTATAAAATATATATATATATAAATATATATATATAAACTAATGACCTTCTTTGTACACTGTTAATGAGAATGACTGAATTGTGGATTGGCAATGCAGTGTAAATTCTACAGTTATGCTGTGAAACACATCTTCAAAGTTTCAGATATTAAAACAAGTTGCAGCTAACTTAACTTCAGTTAAAACAAAAAGCAAGCTAGTTTTTCCTGCAATTAATGTTGTTTGGCAGGAGGGAATGTTTGAGTGTATTTATTTTCTCAGTTTGCTTGCACTACAGTCTATGGATCCCCTCTGAAATGCTGTGTGCACTGCATCACTGAACAGCAGGAAAAGGGGCAGCACCTGATCCTAGAATGCCTGTGGGACACCAGCACGGTGTGGCAGGGGAAGTCAAAGAGATTGCTTTTATTTTTTTTTTTTTTTTTTTTTTACAATGCTGAAAAACAGTTGTGTGAAGGGTTATTCTTTTTCCTGTTTTTTCACTACCACTTTATTTCCTCGTTGCCCTCCTTTGTTCCATGTGAGTTGCCCCAGGTTGCCTGGGCTGTGCACTGGTGCTGGTGTGGGGGAGGCAGCTCAGCTCATCTGTCACGCTCCGCGTTCTCCGGCTGTGAACCAGGGCATGCTGAATGCTCTGTACGTGCTGAACACGGTGTTGGCACCAGGTACAACCTCCAAGTCATCTTCCTATTTAAGTATCAGTAAGAACTGTCCCTTCTGTGAGTGATCCAGGGGTAGGGTGCAGCAGTTTGCTCTGTTTGCTGGCACTAATCCAGGACAGCCACCCCTTTTCTGCCAACAGAGCTTTCCACCTTGATTTTTCCAGCTGAGCCCCTCATTGATTTAATATTACTGTCTTGATTTCATGTATTAGAACTGATCATACTGTCCTTAACTCTTACTTACGTCTAAATTCTTATCCCCCCTCAGGGGCTGAATCAATGCTAAAATCTCTCTTGGTCTGGCTTTTCACCTCCCTGATGCAGCAGAGGGAGGGTAGGTTGAGATACTGGTGGGGCCAGCAAGAATTTGGCCTGCTTGGAGGATGTTTTACTGACACAGTGGAAACTCAGCCTTTTGTCCTGGCATCTGTTGTGTTTGGTATTTTTTAAAACTGTTAATAACTGTCAAAGGCAAAAAGCTTGGCAAAAATACTGTGTAAACCGAAGTCTCTTTTTCTAGCTCTGCCCGTCCTATGGAGCGGGTGCCCCAGTGCTCGAGCAATATCCATGGCTGCTGCTCTACAATCACTCTTAAGCATCTGGGTTTGATTAGAAAGGGTTACTCTGCCAGCTGAAAGCATCTGAGCTGCAGGATTAGTTCCTAAAGTGTCCTGGTTCCCCTCTTGCTGGTGTCACAAATCGGCTCCTGCCAGCACCAAAGGCCTCGGAAATAGTATTGGGTCATCCCTGCACTGCAGACAGAGCTGTTCCCTGGGGGAGCAGCAGCACCTGGCTGAACATGGGCCAGGTGACCTTGCGGGGCAGAGGAGAGACAGAATTAGCAGAGGGAGGGAGAAGCAGAGCAGGAGCTCAGTAGCCACTGTCATAGACAGGTTCTGCAGCCGTGGTTGCACTGAGCCCTTTGCAGAGGGCCTTAGAGCAGAGCTGCTCACACAGAACATCTGAGAAGCCTTGTTTGTGCTGCTGGAAGGCTACAGGGACCTGCCTGAGGTGTGAGGTGCTGCTGGGACAGGGAGGTGGAGAACATCACTTGCTGCTCAGAGCAGGTCCTGCTGGGAGCACCTGGGGCTGCCTCAGGGCCCTTCTCGTGAGGAGTAGCCTCACTCTGCAGCAGCAGCGGTTCTATCACAAAGCTGTACAATTTATTTTTTCTTATTGATCTCACAATGTCAAATAAAAATTGATATCCTAAAGTGTTTGTTTGTTTATTTTTGACCATCCTGCAGCAGCAAATCCCTGGTGAGTGACTATTTAAAAGTGACTGCCCAGCACTGACATGAAGTGATTGCCTTAATTATGGCAGCTCTGTGTGAGAGTGCTGTCTGGCCTGATGTTCATTACTGGGAGATAAGATCAGAAGGGGGGGATCAAAATAGCTGCAAGTAGCTGAGTAAAACACTTAGGAGGGAAATATTACCAGCCTGGGGATCTGCTTGCCTTTGAGGCTCCTCGTCATCCTCTCTGGCAGAGCTGACATATTTTCTGTCTTCAGTTTAACCACAGTAAAGGCTTTTCTACCATGTGCTAATCTACCCTGCCAGCCCACGGGACAGGCTCCTGCAAGGTCTGGTGTTGCAACAGTCACTGGGGGAAGCATTTGGGCTGTTCCCAGGGCTGGCAATAGTTAAAATCCTGGACTTGAGCAAGATCACTTTTCACTCCTTGCTCTGCTTTTCCACTGGGGGAGGTTAAAAAGTTAGCAAAGCACTGGAGGAGTTTGCTCAACTACATCCATCAGGATTGCACCAGAGAGAGCAGCAGTCTCACCCCTCATCTGCTTTCTGTGCTGCTGCAGTTCTGAATGCAGCACAGCACACAAGGGGAAAACACCAATGAAACCAGTGTTTGGGGAAGGGGCACCTTAACCAGCTCCCAAAGCCACCTCTTGCCTACCTTGCAGCATGGGGTTCTTCACAGATGAGCTTCTCTTCTTCAAAAGCAAAGCAAGAGTCGAGCCAAGAGTTTCTTGAATTAGACTGGAGAGTTTCCAGCCTCACCCAATGCACATTTACAGCCGTCACATCTTGAATTGCTTTGGCTACAAGCCATGATATTTCTACAACATTAAATAGTAAAATAAAAAATATGTGCTGGTAATTTCCATTCATTGCTGAAGTAGCAGCTTTAATCTGCATTCATTTTGCTGGGTTTTTGAACTATTGCAGTGAGAGCTCAGTGGGGAATTGCTAAGGGGGGCAGCAGTCATGTACACCCTTACAGGTGGGGGCATGGGGACCACGGTTTGTGTCAGAGATTGGTCACTCGTGCAGCCCTTCGTGTGAGGCTGGAACGGGAGTGCAGCTGGCAGAAGCACTTATTCTAGAGGTCAGTGAGGGCTGAAATGCAGCACCATGTGTGGAAATCCCTCCTGGTGGCACATCCCTGTGTCCCCTGTGCGTGTCCCAGACAGAGCCATTGCTGCAGTCTGCTCCCACTGCTGCCCAAAGTGTGGCACAGCTTTCTCAGGAAAGCTGGCAGCTCATGGCCCCTTCCAAGTGCTCTGGAGCAGCCACAGTCCCCCTTGCTGAAGAAAGCAGGGAATGACTATTACTTTCTAACCCTAAAATGATTTTTGGCTTCCTTATCACTCACTTCCCATGGTTTGGGTTCCCTCACACTTCACCACATTGCAGATCTGCCCTTCTCCACCTCTGACACCTTCAGCAAGGACATTACAGTGGGGACATCCCCCAGCTGGATACAGCCCCCCACCAAGAGTGGCACCATTTCTGCTCCCTTTTGCCACCTGCACCAACAGCAGCAGTTTTCCACCAGACAATTTGGGAAGCTATGGCTCACCCCGCAGCATCCAGGGCCACGGTGCTGCCCCCAGGCTCCCAGTGGGAAGCTCCCAGCCGGGCAGGGAAGCTGCAGCTCTGCAGTTCCCTGCTGTCCCAGCCATGCTGTGCCAGACTGGCAGGCTGCCTGCAGAGGGGAAGGGCAAAGCAAGGCTATTTTGAATGTTAAACAAGCAGAACAGACTTTGGTACCAGCTTTCCACAGGCAGCACTAACAGCAATGGCAAAACACTCCTTGGATTTGGCCTTGAGGTTCACCTTGAAGCCATAATCACCAGGGGCAGAACCCCAGCGGAAATAAATCTGATATTCCAGCAGGTAAAAGCCTTTTAATCAACCCCAGCTTGGTCTCAGTGACACAATGCCATTTCAAAACACTTCAGACTGCGACGAAAGCTACATCCTTAAAATGGCAGCTAATTAATTTTCCTGTCCTGCTAACTTAATCCTTTTTCCAGCCAAGAAAGGCAAATGGGAGTTCACAGAGCAGCGAGGCAGCCGGGAGTCTGGCAGCGTGAGCAGGAACACAAGCCCCAGGGCTCCTTGGCAGGGACCCAGGCTGTGGTGTCACAACTTCCCAGGCCATTTTAATAGGAAGGGAAATGGAAAAAAAATAAATAAAAGGTGACATTTGGATTATCAATGGCTCACCCTATGCCAGTGGTCCTGGGGAACCCAAAGCCCCTCACACAGAGAGATGTGGATGTTTATTCCCACTTCATACCCCAGTGTTGCCAGGCAGAGCACCCACGCTGGCAGTGCCCTCCCTGCCCAGACTGGTGCTGGCTGAACCAGTTTCCCCGGGATCTGCCGGAGGCAGGCTGTGCTGCAGGGGCACTTCACTTTGCATTTCAGAAAAAAAAAAAAAATTATTAAAATATTCCCCTCCTCCCCCAAGGTATTTCTGCTGTGTATTTTAGAGCAGTTCAGGGCCAGCCACAGAAGGCCAGTGCTGATGTCCCCAGAGCCGCAGGCTGCTCCAGAATCCCTTGTGCCTGCCCCAGGTCTCTGCTCCAGTGCGGGATGCAGGAGGAGCATCCTCTGCACACAGCAAAGGCTGAAGCAGAAGAACACAAAACAGGATGCAGCCCAAAGCAGTTTTGGAGCAGCCAGTTTGGCAGACAGTCCAAAGAGGGCCTCCTGCTCCCCACATCCACACCAGGCTGTCACTCCCTGGCCCATTATTGTAGACTCCAAGGCACCCACAGGCTTGGGTGAGCCCCCAGTGAGGCACCACCTCCCAGCACAATGCAAAGCACATGGAGGGGAGAGAAGGGGTCAAATAATGCCCCCTCCTTGCCCAATGCCACCATGCTGCTCTACAGCCTCCTGTCACACACAGATCCCTGCTGAGGCACCTTGGAGATGGTGGCACCATTTCAAAGTCCCCACCACCTCTGAAGCTGGAGCCAGCTGCTCCTTCCACACCTGCTTAAATACACTTCAGATCACAAAGGGAAATCCACAGCAGGGTGAGGCCCATGTTCATCTCCCATGGGAGGGACTCACATATCCTACAGGATGCACCAGGGCTGGCTGGTTAAAAACCCTGCTCTGCTGGTGGCCATGGCCATGCTGCTGCCTTGGGCTGTCCTGGGCTGGCAGGGAGGACAACCATGGGAACAGCCTGAGCTGTCTCCCAGCATGGGAGCAGCAGGCAGGGGAGTCTCAAGGCACTTTCTTCTCTGCCTTTGCTTCTTGTGCTCAGGCAGCATCTGCAGAGCTTGAAAGGGGCAGACCTGAAGCTCAACCCCACCAGATTCTGGGAGCAGAGCAATGGGATGCTCCACAGAGATGAAGTGCAAGTCAAAACAGGAGCAGTGAAGTGAGTCAGGACAGATGAGCTCCAGACAGAGCAGAGCACTCTATCAGCACGAAACCCCCTGGCAGGGCCCCACGCCAGCCTCACACTGAGCACAGCCCCGACCTCCCAAACTCACCACTGGCCAGCCCCTCAGAGGAGCTCCCACCTCGTGCCCGAACAGCAACAGGGAAAGGTTTTCAACCTCCTTCTGCTTTCCTGTCATAGCAAGAGCTGTCCCTTTCATCTCCTCACCTTCACAACCCCTTCCCCCTTCCACAGTGGGTACACCAGGTCCAGGGGTGCAAGGCATACCCTGGGAAGGAGGGCCTGTTGTATCTACATTTGCAGGAATTCACCTTTGGCCACCTGGAACCCAGACAAAAAACAGCTTTCAGTTACCCCACAAGGTCAGAGCCTCCTCAGGGTCCCGATGTGTGAAGAAAAGCCACCACCATCACTCGACCTATTATCCAGCAAGCGTTTCCCATCGCAGCCTGGGCCGTGACTCACCGGGAGCTGCCGTTCCTGCGGGGAATTCACAGGCAGTTCCCAGGAGTCGCTCTGACCCGGTTTCACCTGCTGGAAGCCGCAGGCGCTGCCGCAGCAGCAGCAGCTCGGTGAGAGCCCTCCCAGCTCACCCAGCCCCAGCATGTCCTGCCCACATCCAGCTCCTGGCATTCCTGTTCTCTGACACAGCTCCTGCGGGAGGGTTTGATGGATGTGATACACTTAAAACAGCTTCTTCCAGAGCTCCCGAGTCCCCCACTGTCTCCTTTTCCACTAATAATCATTTTGGATAGCAGCTTCTAAGTTCTGTGTGTGCAGAGGGAGGAGCCCTGAGCCCAGGGATGCCAGCAGAATTTCAAAATGTGCTTTCACTGAGCTGGGAAAAGAAAGGTGCTGGAGCAGCTCAGGTCAGAAGACAAACTCTTCACAAAGAGGCAGCACCACCACAAGCGCCAAAAGGCTTGGGCAGCTTCTCTGCAGCCCTCCTACCTTCCTTTCCAAGCTCCTGCTTTTATCCAGCCCCAGAAGCACACTTCCAGCCAAAAGGACCCACTGCAGCCACCTCTGTGTGGAAGCAGCAGGGAGCCTGTCCTGCCTCCACCTCACGCTGCTCCCATGCCAGAGCCAGCTGGGAGGTGGGAGAGCACAGGGAAAAAGGAACCCACTGACATGCACAGGACATGTACAAGAGCCCAGCAGCCAGTGAGTTGGTTTGTGGTGGGATTGTCCACACCAGGGAAATAATTCAAGTGTGCAAGACCAAATTAGGGCACAGATTTTATAATCATCTTTGTTAGTGACACACTATATGACCTTGGGTAAGTCCCTCCATCCATCTTTAAAGACTCAGAGGAGAGCCACAAGACTTTAATTAGCAGCCCTAAAAGTGCTCAAGATAGCTTGTCTCTCTTCCAAAATAACCAACTGCAGATGAATTGGAACAATCTTATTTTCAAATTCTGCAAGCAACTGGGATCCAGGCTGCTCTCAGATCAGTCACTTCAACAACATAATCAAAGTTAAATGTGCCAGCTGTGCATGAAGGGTTTTAATATGCTGTGCAGACTGGAAAACAGCTCAAAGAATCAATGTTATTTTTCCATGGCTGGGATGTCACTGTCGAACAGCTGCATTATAATCATCTGCAATCAGCAAAATGCCTTTTTTTTTTAATCACTTTCTAGTCTTGGGGAACAGGGCTCATTTTTATTTCTGCCCTACTTAGGAAAGCACCCTTGATCCCTGAGACACCCACTGCCAAGGGATCAGGCAGCCACTACAGCAACGTGCCCTGACCAGCCCTGTGGCTGCTCAAACCCCAAATAGCCAACAGCCTCCTCAGCTCTCCAAGCTGTGCCCAGACAGGAACTGCTCACACTGCTAGCACCACCTCAAGGAACAGTAGTGCATTTCCACAAACCCAGCAAAAATCAACTCCATTTGCCTATTGCCACTGATCCAAGAGCTGGGATGGCTCCAGAGCAGCCCGTCCCTGTGGAAAACCTGAGCACAGCCCAGCATCCTTCTCTGCAAGGGCCACCTCTGCACAAGCACATGGGTCACAGCTGCAAGACGAAGCAAGGGGGAGGTCTCCCAACTCCATCCTTTACAAAAGATTGAACCTCTTTGATATATTCTACATATTAAATATTTACAAATACAATTCAACATTAAAACATACACCTGCTCTGGAGTGAAAGACAGGAAACAGCCTGACCATGCAAAAAGAGCTTTGCCCCAGTAACTACCAAAATGTTTTGTAACCTCTCCTCCTGTTCAGCATCCTGCAGGGCTCTAACTACTTTGTAAATCAGCACACACCATGGGGATCATTCCCAAAAAGCTCTGTCCCTCCTACCAGCTGCTCAGCAGTGGCAAGTGGAGCACTGGGATACAGCAAATTGCCAGAGGTGTCCAATATTTTAAGGGACATTATGCAAGACTGTTTGCATTAGAGGAGTGACAGTGATGGAGATGACAGCAAGCATATACAAATGCCAAGGATCCAGCTACTTCCACTGCAGCTGGAGATGGTCCAGGACTAGGAAACAGCCATCAAATTCCCACTGCAGATGAAAAGATAAAACTTCCCCAAGCTCTCAAAAACATCAGATCTCCAGCAAAAATCTCATCTCAGGTTTTCATTCCACCACCTTTCACAGGCCAAACTATTCTTCTGGACTTCAATATAAATTGTTTGAGAGCTTTATCCTGAGCTCAACAATCTGAAGAAATATGCAGCTGCTTTGAGCACTTCTCAGCTCCTGCTGAAGGGCAATTTTCCTTACATGGTACCAGCAGTCCCCATTCCTGGCAAAGCCGTGTGGGTGAAGGCATGTGCAGCTCAGTTCTTCCACTGCCTATGGAAACATCCTCCAGCATTTACCACGAGGCTGTACAAGTCTGTACAACAATTTAACTCCTTCCCTGGCAGATCCATCCTCTGAACTCTGAGTAATCAGCTGCTCAAGGCACCAGATCTGTGCTCCCAGCCCTGAAAAGCATCTTGTGCACTTTTGAAATGAAGGTTCTGACATGGAAGAGGTGAAGCTGAGCCACCTCCCACAGCACACAAGCAGCACCTGCCTTTTCCACCAACTCTTCCCACAGCTCCTGTCTGCATTTCCAGCTCCATGGACAACCACAGGGCTCCCCTGCCACGCTGCTTTAACCACTACCAAGACACAACACCACAGACTGAGAGAAGAAAAACACCAATGCCAAAGCCTAGCCAACAGTCTTTCAGTGATGAAACAACATGGCAGGTTGCAGCTCAACTCAATGGATAATTTCAGGAAAGTTCAACATCTTTTGTTTAGTCCATCCTCCTTGAAATGATCTCAAGATTCAGATTTAGAATAGTTTAACAACTCCTGCAGGCCAGAAGATTTTTGCTAAATCCCAAGGCATTCTTCTCCAGTTTCTTCCTTTTCCACTTAGGATAGACTTCAACTTGTTTTTGCAGACCTGCAAGCAGCAGCTCCTTTTAATTCCAGTGACTAACATCCTTCCTTCAGATCTCTGCCAAACCTTCTGTCTGCCAGATCTGAAGTGTCTTTGGCCTTGTTTTCTGCTTAACTAGGTTGCACATTCTCAAGACAAGCACTCTCAAGTCCATTTGCTAAAGGTGTGATGTTGCCACGTTGCTGGTATGAAACACTGTAATTGAGCTTTATAGATTTTTTTTTAACCATTTGATTCTGTCAGGTAATGCATTTCTTGTATTTTTCCATCAGAAGTTTCTTAGTAGATAGTAAAAAAACAGACCACAAGAAATGAAAGTCAACAGCCTACGCTGCTGCCATTTCAGCCAGGCAGTTTAGAGGAAGAACCGGGAGAAAATTACCAGATGAAAAAAAAAAAAAACCAAAAAAGAGGTTTAGGGTTTTTTTACAGTTTTCTGCAAAGGGAGACATACAATTGCTTGACCAAAAAAAAAAAAAAAAAAAAAAAAAAAACCAAAAAAGAAGTTTAGGGTTTTTTTACAGTTTCCTGCAAAGGGAGACATACAATTGCTTGACCACAGCACAGTCACAGCCTCTGCAGCTGCTATTTTGGAAGATGACATCACTCTCTGATGCTGGTTAAACCTGGGCAAGAACACACCATAAATGCACTGCACCCCAAACTGGGAACAGCAGCACCCAACAGACACCTGCCACAGTGACCAGCCTTGGAGCTGCATGGCTTAGGAGGAAAAACCCTTGATGTCTACAAGGGAAAAAATAAAGCTAACACACACAAAGGAGGCCTAGCTAAGAGAGGGTCAGAAAACCCTCAGATGCAGCAGAACTCACACAGGTATCCAGACTCCAAAACATCTCACAACCCTTCCAACCCAAGGAAGGCGAGTGCTAAATTTCTTAATTCAGATTCTGCTCTTTGCAGGAAACACAGAACCGAATTTCTTCCCTACTTCCCAACATTCAACTGTGCCACATTATTTCAACCTTACATAAAGATTGGCTGAAACACTTAAGTTTGAGCCAAGCACAAACAGCTTCCAATTCCAGGATGCATCAGTGGACCCATCCTCTCTCCTGAGCCTTGCTGAGGGACACTCCTGCTGCCAGAGGCTCAGCTGTCACACAGGTCACAGTCCTGGTGACACAGCTCTTGCTGCTGGGCTATGGTGTGTACCAGGAAAGGCAAGGCCTGACACCAGCGTGGCTCTCCTGGCTGTCCCTGAAGTGCCAGCACAGCTTGGGACTGTACGTGTCCAAGGCATGTCCCACCCACATCCAGCACTGGGGTCTGGCTCACAGGGAATTCTCTCCTTTAAGAATCTTCTTAAACCAGTCGCAAAGCATTTTCTGCTTCCTAAACGAAACACTTCCATGTGGAATTCAGAGCTGTGTGTGCTCTTCACCAACTGGTCTTGCTCCTTTTTCTTCATCTCTGCACTGACACAACCTTTAAGAACATCTTCCTTCCTTCTTATGAAGACTCATGTCCAGTTCACTACATGGTTTCTGCTGCTCTAATATTCTAACCCAAATTCAATCTATTCAGGTAAAATAATGGTGAGGTCAGGGAAAATTCCCACTGCTTGCACTTGAGTATTTTGTAGCTTCTGAGGTGCAAGATTCCAAATGAGTGCATGGAAGTTACCAGCTCCTTACAGCTGATTTGGCAGCCAACTGCATCCCACCAAAAGAGCAGATTTACACACTGCCAAGGTCACTAGTGAAAAATATGGCCCCTGCTCAGACACACAATGATCAAGTGAGTGTCTCTGGAATCGGTGATGAAAACTAAACAGCCATTAACTATAAGGAAGAAAGCTGTCTCCTCTTATCACCTACTATTTCAAGAATAGCACATTACATGCAACTTGATGCATTTAACCAGGCCATTTTACAACGAGGTATCTGACCCTCCACAAATAAAATCCCTTAGAAGAGTCCAACACTTGGCATGGGATGCCCATCACAGTGACAAACAGCTGCCATATGAAATTTGAAGGAGTAAGTCCCCCTTTGTATAATCTCAAGGTATTTGTGGGGTTTTAAATATTCAATTTTATTCATCTGCAGAGATGAATAAAAG